AATTTTTAACTGTAGCAGTCATGGGGCTGGACGGTGGCTATGTATTTTTATATATATATATATTCTACAACCTTCAGTGGATTTAACACTCACGGCCATCCACTACTGACCAACATCAGTTGCAGACGCTACAATGCTCTCCAGGGCACTGAGTCTTGCCAAGGCCAAGGGGCTTCACAGCCTGAGCGGCACGTCATGCCAAAAATGCCAGGGCACAGCAGTAGCACTTTCAGCATCTCACAGCATACCATAGCAAGATGCGAGAGTTCGGGTGCAAACGCAAGAAGGTCCGCCAAGTCGATGCATGTCTGAGAAACACACCCTCCACGAACGAAGCTTCCGGTCGTTTCTAAACCCTTGGTGTTCAGACACAGCTGGATCTACCTGGCACCGGGTGAAAGGACACAGGATGAGGCCAAGGCGGCTGAGTTGGAGGCAAAGTACCATTCCATGCTCCTGGGAACAGCGTTAAGAGTCAAGGCCAAGGTCAACCGTTTAAGTTTCACTCCAGCAGGCCGTGCTTTGTGCCTTTGCGGTGTTTCGTGTGTTGCTGATGTGGTAGTTTGGTTCGAGGCTGAGCCAGGGCGAGAGGATCCAAGACTTGCAAGTGGCCTTGGGGAAGGCCGTGAAGGAAGCCAACTATTTGAAGGCTCACTGCACCTTGTCCATGAAGACCTGCCTGCACAGGATTCTGCAAGTGAAGGCCTCATCAATCTCAATTTGTCCATCACATGTGATGCCTCTTCAAGACCTTCCCAAGTTCTGCGACAAGCAGAACTTGAACTGCGACAAACAGAACTTGGTGAAATCGGGATTGAGTCGCCTTCACCTCAGGGATTCAACAAGAACTGCAACAAATGGGCGCAGCTGACGCTTCGGTTCCTGCCCCACTTCCAGAGGTGGGACTTGTCACTGAACCGCACACATCCGAAGCGATGGGAAGACGGCAGATGTAACACCCAAGGGATCAGGGACTTGCGGTGAGAACCCTCCAAATAGACCACCTCATTCAGTTGAGCTGCACCTTTGAATTCATTTTGGGCGTGCACACGCCAGCAGGATTGACAGGATTGAGATGTGTCTTGCTCAAACCACTTGGTGTGCAAGCACGGCAGAACTTTTGGATGAACAAGCAGCCACGAACATGAGACGGGTCCTGATGCCCGCTCGATCCACGTCAGGGCATCGGTTCGGACTCCAGCTTAGGCCTTTGGGCTTTGGAGTGTGTTTCGCAGCAGCACCAGCCAAGCACTGTGTGGAGGAGTGGCTGGTGCTAGTGCTACTGGGCGAGAATTCGGCGAGAATCACTACTGTAGACAGGGGAGGAAACCCTGCAGCCTGTGGTGAAGTTGGCAGTTGAACTCCGTACTGTCTCTGGAGTCTTGGGAATGGCTTGAACATCGTCCCGTCAGCTGTTCAGGAAAGGTAGCTTGAGCTACCTGAGTTCTCCTTGCTTTAGCAAAAATGTATTACAATCAGGAGTTGGGATTGTGCATTGAGTTTGGTCCTGTAAGAGTTGATTCTGTTCGTCGGGGGGGGGGGCCCCCCACTGGATCAAATCCCCCTGCGCCGGTTCACGCCGTCATGGAGTTCTGCCAGGGTTACTTGTGATTGCCTGCTACCTTTCGTTCACCCCCCTCCTCTCTCAAGTCGCTTTGACCAGTCCTGTTCCCCTGATTCAACGTTTGGAGCTCTTGGTGTTCGCCATCCTTAAGGGGAACTCTCGGTGGTCAGCCCACGGGTTCTTGTGGCCCCCCAAAACACTATTGGGAGCCCTCCCAGCTTGACACACTGGAAGAAGGCAAATAGACCAAACCCCAACAAAGGCCAGGGGTCCGATATCAATGTACACCCATGTCTCGAAGGCTTTTCTTCCACATAGCTTTTTGATGAATGGATGGGAGATCTGCGCCGTGCAGCAATCCAAGCACCGGTGCCTATGACTTCCACATGGGGTTCGAACCTTTTGGGGCCACAGTAAAGACTCACCTCGATGGTCGAGGCAATGGCCTTGCAAATCACTTCGCTGATGTGGCTTCGGACCATCATGCTGCTTCCTTTGCAGAAGCGTCGGGCAGATGTATCATGCAAGTGTATCTCCAGGCAACGAGGCCACCCGTTCCTCACCAGTGGTGAGGAACAGGAGAAATAAATAAGGGCTTGTGTGTCCACTCACTTAGTCATGTTTCGTTCAGAGTTCTAAGCTTAGGAACTACCAGTACCGCTATGGCATGACGATGCGCGAGGCTGGGCCACGGTGTGTTGTGACTCACTGCCCCTCATCTCGAGCTGGTTTTGCCCACGGATTTCCTTCCCACCATAGTTTGGGTGTAGGAAGAGCTTGCCCTGGGAAAACATGGAAACACTAGGATCCTACTGCTTGCTACAGCCAACACAATATACTGGTAGACTAGACTTGGACGGCCGCACATCGCGATTGAGGCGATGCGGGACCTGTATGTGCAGGGCGGCCTCCCGCGCTTTTATCGCGGCATCGGGCCTGCCCTGGTGCAGGCGCCTGCTTCGACCTTTCATCTGATTCGCTTCGACTGGTGAAGCGAATCAACCTGCGGACATCGATCCAATTCGTCTTAGAGGGATGGGATGGGATGGGTGGTGGTGGCCCTACTGCAGGTTGCTTCACCGACCAACACGTTGTTTTGGCCGACTGCTCCAGGGGCCATTGATGCGCTTCGTCGACTCTTCCGCCAATGCCGGGGTGTTGGCCTTTTTCCAGAGTGCACATGCAGAGAATTGGCCGGTGATTCGTCCGCAATTGTTCGTTCCATCTAGTCCGTAGTGCTAACATGTGTCATGGACACACCGCGAGCTGGCTTTAGCGAGAACACTTCCTTTTGTCGCCCGATGATTTCCAAGCCGACATGGTGCATGCCGGTGGGTGTAGGGTGTATGGTGTGTATCAAAACGAAGCTCCTGAGGATCAGAGGCTTGAGCACCTAGCATGCCTCAAGTTCCAAACCCCTGTGCTAGACATGTCTTCCAAGTTCATCACGCCAAACCTCTCGCTAGACCACCCGAGGTTTGGATTCAGACCATTTTTGCGTCCGCCTCCGCCGCAAGCCTCCGCATCGCGTTGATGCCTCTGGATGCCGTGAAGACGGTTCTGCAGGTGGGAGCTGCAGGTTTCTCCTTCCTGAATTACACATCGTACAGGCTGCAGGTTCAGCATGGGTTCAGCGGGCCAAAAAGTTGTCTTGTGAAGGACAGCTTTCTTTTTGATCCATTGTCCAGACCAAAACAAGAAAAGAAAGACGCATAGCCGCTGCGCTCCAGCATGCTCCTCACCGTGTTTGAGAGTTCTCGAGTGGTGCGACCTAAACTGTCTCAAGATGGCGCAGGTTGATGGTCATCATGGGCTCGCGCAGCTCTTTGCCCGATGCCGGGCTGGACGGGGTGAGGGAAGTACATTCAGACCGACCCAATGTCACCAGTTTCTGGGGAAGCGTTGGCCTGTTGGTCTAGGCCTGTGCTTTTTGGGAGGCTGGCGGAATTGGACCAAAGACATAGCCCGCCAAAAGTGTCAACATCTAAATGATCTAAAGTGACTTGTTGCCGACCTAACTCATCTCATCTGCATTGTTGCTGAAGACATCGCCGTGCCCACAGGAGGATCTTCCGTGCTTTTTCGTGGGGCCATGGCATCTTCTGCTGCGACCTTCGTCAGTCACTACCCGTGGTTCACAGCGGCTCAGCCCCGAACTCGTTTGGAGGTGGAGCATGGCGCTCCGCAGCGCCGCAGCGGACGTTCTGGAGTGGAAGCGGAAATGGCGTTGGAACCTGCGGACTGCACCTCCTAGAAATCGAAGAGATCTTCCTCTTAAGATGTGCTCGGAATGGCTTGCGAACATGTTTCAGGATATTCAATTAGGTTGCAACGGGTTGGGTGTTTGGGATGCCCTTTGATCCCTTTGCAGGTTTTTTCGTGGGAGTTGATTTGGATATGTTTGGATCGTTGCCGCATAGGGGGGAAGACTCAAATTCATTCATCCCCATGACCAGTGGCTCAGCCTTAATCATTCACTTCTTATCCCCATCCAGCAGTCTATTGGCAAGATGTTGCTCACAAGCATGCACATTTGTGTATTTCCAGTGTTGCTCTGAATGGTAGGGTACCAGTTTGGTCAAGGGAATCAGTTTTTGTGCCCAGCTTTATTGGCAGCTTTGGCCTCCTAAATCTTGGTCCGTCAGCCATCTATGATGTGTCAATTTGAAACCAGATTCGTCCATTCGTCCATGTGAGCAGCTTGCAGCTTGGGTCGCATCCTTCAGACCCTAAAATCTCTGTGCCTAGAGAGGGCACCCATCCCAGCAGTCCATCTGGGTGGTTGTAGAGACCATCAGACTCGCCCGCTCCCCCAGACTCGCCCGCTCCCCCAGACTCATCCGCTCCCCCAGACTCGCCCGCTCCCCCAGACTCATCGGTTCATTGGTCATTTGATGCCATTGGTCTTTGAACCCCACCGAGCCTCGGCCCTCGGCCTCGGCCTCGAGGTCTTCAACTGCCTCAATCGCCAGCTGCCCCAGTACGAGAAGCGCTCCCAGCAGCTGCTGCGGAATGCGGGGATTGGCTTTTGTGCTTCCGTCCCTTGGAGCTGAAGACGCCGCACCCACCGACTGCTGTTGGACCCCCACCCACCCACCCCGTTTGACACCACCCGTTTGACACCCACCCGATCCTTTTGAGATCGTGACATCGTGATATATACAGAGAGACACTGTATGTAGGAAAAGAATCTTCCAGCATAACAAAAAAAAGACTCCAAACAATTTCAGCAGGATTTTTGGGGATATGTGTCATGAGAAACTCCGAAAATGATATCAAATTTGAAGCGCAGCATCACGGTTGCATTCACATCGGCAAGAAAATAATCCCGGACAAGGCGGTGGAGAAAAAGAAAACGGTTCGGCCAAGCAGGGAACAAGGCCCAGAGGCCCAGACAAGGCGGTGGGCCGACAATGTGGGCAAGCAGGACACACAGACTGGGACAAGGCCTGGACAAGGCGCCAAGCAAGGCCGGGCCACGGCTATCGTGGCCAACCCTCTATTTCCTAACAGAGAACCCCAACAGTACACTGCTTCGAGAAAAGACAGTTTTACAAGCTGTTTGGAGAAAAGATAAGTTATGCGAGGGCCTGCTTAGTCAGGCCACTTCAATGTGTGTGGGATGCAGGTGTGGCGGTGTGGCGCCACTGGGTGCACACAAACCTCGCTGTTCTGCTCAGGTCTGCTCTGACACTGTGTCCAACTCCCTACGGGTGTTGAAGACGCACCGGCAGACGCACGATCAGGGCTCCTACCTTGGCATCGCACAGTGTCCTGGCCGAAGGCCTCAGGTGTAGGGCGGTGAGAGCACGTCTCCAACGACCAATGGACCAAAGAGGGTGCTCAGAAGCTCACAAGTTGAGATTATGCCTCAAATGCCGTACAATGGCACATGGATGAGGCTCAACAGTCAGTCATCAGTGGCCCCCAATGGGAACAATAGTCTCCCTTCGCTTAGAAACGCTTTTCGTTTCTATCAACTCCATCCAAAGACTTGTCAAAGGATTATGGAAGCTAACTTTTTGTTCAGACCAGTCTCCTGATCTTCTGAGGGCAGTCATCCGCACGGACGGGGTCACTGGCTTGCTGAGCAGGGGATTGACCACACGCCGCTTGGGCCAAGAGCGGCCACGCATGAGAAACCCAAGTGGTTTTGTAGTTGGAGTCTTGCATTTGCAGGTGTATTTGCATGTGATTTGTGAATAATGGATCTCAGATAGGCTTCAGATTCATCACTGTTTTGGGGAACCTCGTTGCTGGGACTTGGGATGTTGTTGAACTGTGGAGGTAGTAGTGTGGAACTCCGCTTTCCTCTTGTCACTCGTAGACCCTCATGGGGCTCATTACCACCTTCTCAGGGACAGGTTGGATAGGTGGAAGTTTCCTTTCTTTTGAACATGGTTGTGTGCTCACGTCACCAAACTCAACCGCGGGTGTGTTGCAGACAGAAGCCGCTCTGCTGGCGGTTGATTGTGGTCCTTTGAGAACAAAGGCCGGTTGTGGTCCTTTTCTGAGACACCTGAACTATATTTGTGGTATGCGGGGAAGTGACTTGAGGGTCACTTTGAAGATTCGCAGCATGCCACGGGTATCAGAATATGACCAAAGAGGCGTATCAGAGTCATTCCTCAGCGCGGAAGGGTCTCAAGACACGCTCTTTCAAGGCCAAAGAGGCGTATCAGAGACATTCCTTAGTGACTGCGGGCTCTTTCAAAACCGGTAGAGAACACAGAGAGAACTCGTGGAGAGACTGCTCGTTTCTCTGGAGACACTCCGGATCAGCTTGCCAGAGGCATCATTGCAAACGGCCTTTCTGGCATGGTCTTTTCAGTGCGGCTTGGCACAGGACAAGCATTAGAAGACAGCGAGAGGGAGCCATAGCCACCATAGCCCAAAGGATGAGACAAGCTACATGTGAAGAGGTCTCATGCCTCTTACAATTTTTACAAACATGTATATAAGCGTGAATTTAATGCTGGGAGCTTGGACGCTTCCTATTGTTATTCCAACTTGTCACTATCGTTGCATGGTCCTAGATTCTGTACCTTTGAGACTTGATATGGTCGAGACCTCCTAACATCACCGGTTGAAGCCAACGTTCGCTGTAACTTTTCTTTTTGCCTCAGTGTGTCCGCTGAGGCTCTATCGGCTTTTTGAGGAGCCTCTGGTGAAGAGGTGATCCAGGATCGTCAGGGACAGTGGTCCAAATTGATGATTCAGACGCGTTGGTGCATGGCTTGAAATTGGATCATGCGAACAACCGTTAGACTAAGCTGACCGGCTTGGCATGAGTTACATGAAGAAAACCCTTTTGGAAAAGGCTCCCAAGCTTGACTTACCTTTCGAAAGGATAACGCACCAGTGAGGTGGAGAGAGAAGGAAGTTTTGGGCTGGAACAGGCAGACCCAAACCGTTTTCCGAATTCACGTAGCATAGTGCCATGTAATTTAGCATTCAGGGATCCTGATTATCGAGTGGACTCTGAGGGGGACGTTTTTCACCTCAGTGTGCACATCTTTCGCCTTTGCTGCAAGACGGCAGGGCGGCAGGGTCACTGGCTGAGAGTATTCAAAAAAGAGGTTAAAGACCACCGGGCGCACTTCGCTGCACATTGGGAGCTTCGATTGTAAGATTTGGACGCTTCAAATTCCAACAGTCTTTCGCATTGTCAGGATGCCAGTCTCAGAACATGATAGAACCGACTCCCATTCCTATAAGGGACATGCTGCCTCCAGCATGTGGAGAACAAAATCCAATTTTTATGTTTTTGGGCTGTTTGCATGTCGGCCCGTCAGCTCAAACCGAAGGCACTTGACAGATACATCAAATTTGCCTGTTGATGGCGTGTTGCAACCACACGAGAGGATCTTCCATTTGTGTGTCGGCCACAAACACGAGCGGACACAACTCGCCGGAGAGCAGCGCATCGCCTCCCAACAATGTTTGCCGAACCCACTGCACATGCGATCAACCCCCCCAAACCCAGCCTCCACGAATTCTGAGTGTGATGGGCTGGCATGGCCTTTCGACCGGCCTTGGTGACTGGCAAGTTGCAGGCGTCGACGTCAGCACACCAGTCTTCAGAAAAACGGTAGGGTCAGCTTTTCACCGTCCATGTATATACTGTATAAGATGTATAAGTTTGTTTGAGGAAGGGTGGGCCTTTGAAAGGTGCCACCAGCGATTGGTGTGACCATGAATCTAACAATCGTTCTAGCGATTGGAGTTGAATGAGTTAGGACTCAGACTCCGGACATCAATTTTGAACATACCGAACCGGAATCCAATTGTAATTTTCTTCTTGGGGCGGCTGCTTGGGTGACATCAACGACAGTGACGAAGGTCCGTCAATCGAGCTGTGCCTAGCTGTGACAGGCTTGCCTTCGCATAGCTCGAGGGGGTGTCGCTGGGCGTGTGGAAAGTCCAGCTCGTCCAAGGGTGGAAGACGATGTAGACACCGGTCTATGAAGGATGACATGTTCAGCTCCTCATGCGTCACGAGCGCTCACTGTGGTAATGTCAAGTAGTTACAGCAACTGCTAGCCATGGTGCTGCAATCGCAGTTATATATCTCTACTCCTGTGTCTGGCAGGGCCAAAGGAGAAGCTTTCACTGTTGTACAGTTCATTGGAAATCGAAATGGGGAACTCAACTGGTCCTTTGATTGAGGAAGTTTGCCTACCCTCAGATTGCAGCACAATTTCTATCGATGTCTGACAGCTGAGGCTCAGGCATTTCATGGGCCCTTTTGGTCACCTGCAGCCAGGCAACTTGCCTTGTTCAGTGTGAATTATAGCAGAGCTTTGTGGGGTGTTCCTTGTATGTGTTTCTTTGCGGACGCACTCTCCGACCTCAGTTTTGCGTCCGAATAGGACAATTTGTAAATCTCTGTGGCTTGCGCAACATGGTGGGAAAAACGCACGAAAAAGTTCTGTGGAGTTGGCATGTGTGTCCCCTCCCTGAAACATGGAACATAGGCCCGGAAGACAAATTGTCTCTACAAGCAGGTGGCTTTCCACTTACATTGTTAATGGCGGGGGGGGTGCATCATTTTCTTAGAGGCCCAAGGAGCCCCAAAGACCGTACAGACCCGAAATTGGAAGATGCGACACTCCAGCTCAACGCGTCGTCCGACTGGTGTGCTGGAAGATGCAGCGTCTCTCCATGCTTCGATTGGTTGGAACTTCGGGGCCCCAAACCAATCGGCTCCACCATGTTTCTTGCTGGAAGCACTTGGTGTTTTCATTTGCCTTTTCATTGGACACCATTGATGCGCGCAGGCAACGTCGAGGCTTCTCAGTCGATCGGCTGAAAGAAAGCCTGGCCCTTCACGCAGAGGTCTCGCGATGTGCGACTCGGCGACGGGTGGTGGGTGCAAGCAGCAGGGTTGGTCACTGCCAAGGAGGAGGGCGCGCGTAGCCTCGACCTGAAAGGTTGTCAAGGGGGAAGAGCTTGCACAGTTGCGAGGTGTTCATCGAGAATGTTGCCTACGTCGTGAGGAAGCAGGAGTCGACGAAGGAGCCACTGCACAGCTTGCTTGTGGTGGTTTGAGAATTCCCTACGTTTTGGGTCTTGCACCTGGGGACATCAACCCGCAAACACGTTTGTGCTTCTTCTCAGGCCACTTTGACGTAAAGTGCTGTCAACAAGTTTTCTCAAGCTTCCCGCTTGGGGCAGGCCATGCTGCTAGATGAGAGTGTGGGAGACTGGGAGCTGGAGAAGCACTTGATGCGCAAGGCGTGGCTTTACACCACACGGACCTTGTGGATACGAGACACTGACCAACTGGGACCAAGAACAAAGAACATCATGAGTTCATATGATCACCCGGTACGATGCACACAGTGCTTGAACTCAAACTCAGAACATCCTCCCAGGATGTGTTTCATGTTCGGAACCTCGCAAGCCCCCCGAACAAACACTCCTTGCCAGCGAGGCCACTGACTGGGGGATCCCTCAAGAGCTGGTGCCAAAGGTGCGCGTGCTCGATGAGTTGCCAGGGCCGTGCCTCGACTTGGCGGGTCGGCGCTGCCGGACCGAGGGCGGATGTCGGAGGCACCAAACTTCACGTGCACAACGTGTGCACACGATGTGCATGCTATCACGAAGCCAGGGCCGAAGCACACTGGGTGGGTTAGCAGGGTGAGCTCTCCATGTCCTGCTTCTCGCTGAGGGAGAGCTTTGTGGTGCCCTTCTCGTTGCTTCGCATGTTGCATGTGCTCTTCCAGGACTTCCGGCAGAGCACATGGATCACTCCAAGTGTGCAACTAATTAATGAAGGAATGAGAAGTCGAATGACCGGCCAAGCGAGATTCCTTGGGATTTCCTTGAAGATCTTAGAAGCCAACCTCGAATTCATTCTTCAAACATCTTCAAAAGTATTACTGTAATCCTTGCCCATCAGCACCACGTCTTGCGGCGGGGTCCTGGGGCAGGAGGTGGATGCCAGCCAGAGTAACCACATTTGCCTTCAAGTGCCTTGGTGGGGTCGAGCTTGATATGGTAACGGTGACATGTTGCCGATGAGAGCTCCCCCAAACACCACCATCCTCTCAAATTTTTCCACTAAAGCATACTAAAGCCAATTGTTTGGAGAACTTCTCCTTGAAACCGGTTCTTCAAGGCCGCCCAGCCCACGGAGTTCCCGAGCCATGCTGAGCCACTCCACTTCTCGTGAGCCGAGGAGTTCCTGAGCTTCTGCAAAAAGACGCAGATCTTTACGGCCGATGAGGCAAGTCAGGCAGGTGCGGCCTGAAGAACACAGACCAAGTTGTCACAGAACCTCTAATCACTTGGAACGTGAGGAAGATTGAAGCGCTAACGCAATCCTTTTGGCATTTCGATTGGCAGACCTTCCAGGTGTTCTTGAGCAAGCGATCGCTACCTTCAACTTCGGAACTTCTGCTGCTCGGCTCTTGCTGTCATGGGTCCAGTTCTGCCAAGATTTACTCATTTGGTCCGAGAGTTGATGAGCACTGGGGTTTCAAGACTCTGGCAAACCACCTATATAAGTGCCTTTGCTCCTCAAAGAGTAGCTGAGAGGTTGTTCCCTAAGATCAGGAGCATGGCCGTGGGTCCCTGTTGAATCGTCCAGAGGTTTAGTGAGAACGATATCTTCCACTTGAACAACGAATATGATACCGACAAAGCCATCAAGTTCAATGACTTTCAACAACTCATCTTGGACGCAGGGATCCTCGCTCCTTGGCCCGGACGATTTTGGCCGGAGGGGCGCGGCGGAGGTCTCCAGGGGTGACGACGCTCCAAATTCATGACTGCACCCACAAGAAAGTGGATTGGAGTTCAGTTTGGAGGCGGGCAAGAGAGGAGTATGTTCGGAGGTCCATGTACTTTGAACAGGCAAGGGGGTTTGTTTTGTTGGTTCTCTCTTGTGAAGCTTGAGGCTAATCGTCAGCAAGTCGAGGTGTTGGGTCTGACTGTCGACCTTTAAGGCACATCACCTGAAACTGGGGAGGTGCTGAGGTGCTTGCCTACAATCCGCACAGGATGTGGCTTAAGGCCTAGGTACCTGTTTTTGAGGATGGGGATGTGCCTAAATTATTCCTGGATCATTGTGGACAGTTGAAGAAACATCAGGTTGGAGGCCATTGCGAGTAGGTTGGAGGCCATCACTATAGTAGGTTGGAGGCTGTGAATTTGAATGTGAGTGTTGACCGAAAGCGTGTCCACGACTTTTGGGCCCGAGACGCGCCCGGATCTTAGATGTTTAGCTAGACGTTCGATCGACCTTGCCGCCATTGCATTGTCGGAAAACCAACGTTGCGCTCGGATTTTGGTTGTGTGAGAAAGGTGGCCGGTTGTTGTTAGATAGTGAGACTCCCTACCGAATTTACATGGTAGCGGAGCCTCTCGCTCCGAGGGGCTTGTTGTGTTGAGCTGACATTGCTGGTGCTGACATTGAACTTTTGTGCATTGGTGTTGCAGGGGTGACACTTTAGCATTGCTCATTGGTTGTTGGCCGCAGCTGTGTTGGGGGAGAGCTCAATGAATATTCCAAAGGAATATGATGGGATGATAGATCCAAAGTTTCCGTGGTGGGACGGAAATTGGAGCACCTACGAGGATTACAAGATCCGAGTGGAGTTGAGAGCAGATGCTTGCAAGACAGAGGATTTCCCATATCTAGGACCACGATTCGATTGGCAGCCAATTTAGTGGGCAAGGCATTTGAGACATTAGGAGAAATCAAGGGAGAGCAGCTGAAAAAGGCAGAGGGATGGCATTATTTGTTGATCTTTTTAGAGGACACAAGGGGTCGTGCAAAAGTCGACATTTTGGGTGACACGTTTACCAAGTTTTTGCTGCGCAAAGAGGCTTGTTGCCGAGATGGTGAGGAGATCAATGACTACGAGACGAGGTTCAAAACTCTGGTACGCCGGATGGAGAGAGCCATTGCAGAGACGAACTCAAATGCAAAGATGCCACCTGAGGTGTGCGGGTGGTTTCTTTTGAGCGTGTTCATGAGGATGTCGCCATCTGACACTGCAAACATCCGTGGCAAGGCAAGCTCCTACAAGGTGGAAGATGTCTTGACAGCCCTACGGTTGATGTGGAGCAGTGGAGGTCTTGGGAGTCGAGATGCAGAGCTCCTTCCTCGGAAGACCACTACTGGACAAGCATACCATCAAGATGAGGTGGTTGAGAAACCGGAGGCTGACATGGAAGGGGACGACGCAGAAGAGATCTTCGAATTGGAGGAGTGGTGTGAAGACGCCACGGCAGAGTTGCTCGCAGACACAGAAGACAGTGCAGAGATTCTGGCAAACTTCAAAGAAGCTCGAAGAGCATTGGATCAAGCCCGAACTGCACGTGGATTCTATCCAGTGAAACCTCCTGGACAAGGACAGTTCAAGGGGAAGGCAAGTCAGTCGATGCGTTCCTACTCAAGAAGCAAGGCACCGACCTCAGATGCTGACCGAATCTGTTTCCGTTGTGGGAAGAAAGGACACGCAACAAAACGTTGCCCTCAGAAACCTACAAGCAGCGGGAGCAACAGCATTGGTTATGTGGGATGGTGCGATGATGAAAGACCATTATGCACTGAGGCACACTCGGAGGTTCACTTGATGACCAACGTGCCAATCAGTGAGACCGTCAGTGGTCCATCATGGGTGTTGTGTTCTCAAGAGACGGCAACCGGACAGGTCTTGGCCTTACAACCAGCAGATCTACGAGGGAAGGCTATTGTTGATTCAGGAGCTTCAGACAACGTTGTGGGAGCAGAGACCCTACAAGAGTTGGCAGAATGTCTGGAAGAGTTGGAGTTCCATCCAAACAATGAGATCGTTGTTGACCGACAGATCCACAAGCGCTTTGTCTTCGGGAACGGGGAGTCTTCAGCTGGCTTGGGGTTGTCGCATGTGAATGCAGGAATATGCGGAAAGGAGGTGACAATACAATCGCATCTGGTCGAAGGGAAGACACCCCTTTTGTTGTATTCAAAGCTCCTCTACGACATGGATGCAACCATCAATTTCTTGACAGGAAAAGCTGTTTTTCTGAAGCTGAGTGATCGACAAGTTCAATTGGAACGAACAGAGAGCAACCATTTGATGCTTCCCTTGACCGCATTTGCTGGCCATCGCGAGGCTCTTCAGGAGTTGTTTGTGAAAGACGATGGCATCGACCAGGCGGTCCACACCTTGAGCCTTGAGCCGGAAAGACGCCGACTTGCCGCGCAAGACGGCCAGTGTAGAAGTAGAAGAGGCAGTGGACGAATAGGAACAGCTCCACCAAGGCTGCAATGGACAAGCTAACCCAAGCTTGATAGCCGTGAGTGGAAGTGATTTTTAGAATAGTGGAAACGCAGTGATTCATCAAGAGTGTTTTGTTGAGATGAGTTGTGATCAGGATCACCCGGAAAGCATTTTTCCAAGCGGAACAACACAACAAGGTGACTCAACAGGTTGAACAGATGGTTCGGGAAGGGGATCGGGTGTTCGAAGGTCTTGTGGGTGGCCGTAAAATTGATTTGCTTGAGCTGTGTGCCCCATGGGATAGTCCGTTGTGCCAGGCTGTCAGGGATTTGGGAGGTACCGCACTAGCTCTCGGAAGACCTCACGACTCAGGAAGGTTACCGAAAGGCTATTGCTACTCTTCGTGCTCTAAGGCCCAGGTACTTGCATGTGTCACCACCATGTTTCTTGTGGAGTTCATTTCAGACTTGTACCAAACGAGACGAGAAACAAAGACAGAATTTTGAACACATGAGAAGCCACAGCAAGCGACTGATACCAGGTTGGATGCCATCACTATAGTAAGAAGTTTGGAGGCCATCGCTACAGTAGGTTGGAGGCCATCACTATAGTAGGTTTGAGGCCATCACTGTAGTAGGTTGAGGCATTGCTTGTAGGTTGGAGGCCATCGCTAGTAGGTTGGAGGCCTTCGCTAGTAGGTTGGAGGCCATGGCTAGTAGGTTGGAGTTGGAGGCCATCGCCAGTAGGTTGGAGGCAATGGCTAGTAGGTTGGAGGCCATCGCTAGTAGGTTGGAGGCCATGGCTAGTAGGTTGGAGGCCATCTGGGGATGACCGATTTACTTGCGCCCTTCCTGTCCGTGCTTTCAGAGCCGGCCGAGGACTTCACGTCCTTCCGCGCGATCGGCGACCCCTTGGGCAGTCCATTGGTCTCGTTTTTTGTGGACGAACGGGTGGGGCACCCAGTGTGGCATGTGAACAGGGTGAATGATGTAAGACAACGTGGGTGGCACATGGTTTTTTGTTTTTATTTAATGACCTATTTGGGATAGATGCTCCCCCCCACTTGCAATCAAGAAAGATGAGGGTCCACATGTTTGCTGCTAGTCCAGTTTTTGTCTGAAGACTTGCCGAGATGGTCCGCGAGGTGCTTCAGATCATTCTCGCCCATTGGTTTGCACTCTACGATTTTAATCAAGATGGCCGGCTGCAATTGGAGGACGGCACACGGAGATGGTATTGGGCATGCGACAGAAGTAACATTAACTAACTACCTTTTGGTCAACGGAAGATAGGTCCCTAAATGCATTGCTAGTAGCCAAGCTGGTATAGAAGGAAAAACTATGAGTACAATGCCGCCACACTGCCCAGCTTCTAAATTCTCCAACCTTAAGTTTCCCTACTAAACATCTAGGAACCAATGATTAGTGCGAGCGCTTCTTCAAGGAAACTCGCCTTGAAGAAGCGTGAACTATCCTGCGTCCTAGGTGGTAGCTACTGGTAGGTAGTAGCAAGCTAGCTACTACCAGCTACCTACCTAGCTAACCGCCTCTTAGCGGCCTACAGCCCCCCTGGGCTTAATTAAAAGGTAATAACGCTCTTGATGGATTTTTTGAAAGCTTCTTTTAGCTTCCTTCAGGAGTATGCCCGTTTGGTGGCTGACTATCAGCTTCCCCTGACCGCAGCGGATGAAATCTACACCCGCGCAATCAAAGACCGCATGGTCGGATTGGATGCTCGCTGTCACGGAGGTCGAACCCCTACGGTCTTTCTTCGTTTCTGTGTTGCCCGATGCCGCGCCATTTTTCTCACCCCTTGGATCGCTCGATGTGGCTGTTGCTGTCGCAGGTGGGATGTGGCCAGCATGGATCACTGGTCCATGCCATGTTGATGTCGCATGTTGTACGGCTAGCCAAGGACATGCTGGATTTTCAAGCGTTGCTGGTGAAGTCTGGTGTTCTCGCCACTGGTGTGCATCTCAATTTCAGATGCGTGACAACCTCGTTGGCTTTTGGTCAGTATCGGGATGCAACATGCTGCCAATGAGAGGCTTTGTGGCATTCTTGGTTTGGGCTGACCGAGTCCTGGGCATCTCTGCTGTGAAGGTACTTCCATTGAAAAGGATGATGAGATGGGGAGGAATTGGCGGCAGATCGAGGCCTCTCAACAGTTCCGAGCTTACAAGAATTGAATGAATTTGGGGAGACATTTGTAGATCTGGATTTAGTTGTAGATTTTATGTTGAAGATGTGCATGTGTCAGCTGAGGTTTCTTGTTCCTCAGCGAGTCTTTATCGCTGACGGTGTGGGCCACAGTGTCTTACGCATGTGTTGTGACTTTAGGACCCTCAGCCCTTGCGCATAGAGGTAGTAATATGAGTCAATGACCACCGCCCAATTTTTTGGTGCAGCAATTTCCAGCCATTCAACTGGACTTGTGATTGCGAAAATGGAGCTGGACTCGAGATGCTTCGGGTCGAACTGTTATCGTTGGAGGTCGGTCAGGGACATTTTCACCACCCAAGGGCGATGGCCACTTGCGCTTTGTGTGCCTCTCCGACACCCACGGCCAGCATCGAGAGCTCTCATCACGGCATCTTGCGTGCAATGGAGAAGAGGCAGTGTTGAGGTCCTTATGGAGCATTGAAGGCAAATGTTCTGGCAAGTGTTCTAGCGTGTTGTGCTGAGGATAGATTTGGGGATGGGAACTGACCCTGCGCGGGTGTCCTGAAGGTGTGATAGTCAGGTGAAGAAGCGAAGAAGCCCCAGCAACGTTAGGATCATTCACTCGCACAGATTCCCTGATTTTCTGGGTTCCCGTTTGCATGTTGGTGCCCTACATGAGGTTGCCACCTGGTGATGTGCTTCTCCATGGAGGCAGTGCTTCGAATGGGATCTTGTTCGTTGTGTGTGTGTGCCCACCTCTGTAACTAAGAGTTTCTGTTTTTCTCAACTTTTAAGTCGCAGGGGGCGTGACGGTCGATTTCCTAGTCACGCCAACGAAGCTAGGGGAATCGACTGGATGAATGTTTGGACGCAAACTTCTGTACCTGCGCGGATGAAAACTTTTGCACACGCTGTGACTCCACTTTTCCTTTTGTTGTTTCCATGGTGGTTGTTCGCATGATATCCCCCAAAACAGGTTTC